CTCAAGTCTTGGTGTCTTTTGACGATTCATTCACTCCAAGAGAACATTTACTCAGCTTTTCTCGGGTATACACGACCCTTCATTCACTCGTCCGGGTTTTACTTCACGGCTGAGGTCCCCCACACACCTTCTTTCACACTTTATAAACCATTTATACTCTCGCTCTTGTGGGGTTCACCTGAACCTTCATTCACTACTGTCACCTGTACCTTCTCCTATACTGCCTCACTTTCAGGCCATAAGTGGAGTCTTTACTCATCACTGGAGCCCCTGGGTGAGTCCTCTACCAGATCCATAACTTTTACTCAATACTTATAAGACCAAAGTTGTTTTACCATAACTGTGACGGTGTAGATCAAGACTTGTGTGTGTGTGTGTGTGTGTGTGTGTGTGTGTGTGTGTGTGTGTGTGTGTATGTGTGTTTAGCCGATCACTTAGTATTCGTTTTTCTTTTGCCTGTATTGGATAATTATTAATATCAACAAAAGTTCAGACCACAGTATGTTTATCAGAATGATGGAGGGCATCCTTAAGTCACTTGTTTTATTTAACCAAAGAACTCAGTGGCCGCCCCGCAGGTAAACGAGTGATGCACCCACATATACTAAGGCAATTAGCCACCACATGCACTGGCAACAAGGAGTTATATATCAAAAGATTGAAATCTTTATGTACATGCGAACCGCCGGTGCGAATCGCGAATCGATCAGGATATATCTCAATGCATACCATATTAGGTAAATGGTAAGGCAGTGTTTCGAATACAAAACTCCCCTGGCCCCTTGTTGCTGGACCCTCACCGTGTTACATCGTCCTGGGATACCTGGTCTGAGACTCCGCCAGGTAAGTCTCCATAGCAACGGTGTTTAGACAGAGAGAGAGAGAGAGAGAGAGAGAGAGAGAGAGAGAGAGAGAGAGAGAGAGAGAGAGAGAGAGAGAGACTGCCTTATTTCCTTTATTAGTTGTACACCCACTAAAAAACTATTCGGCACCCTTACGGCGTGATACAATATCACACGGGTGCCGAATAATTTTTTAGTGGGTGTACATCGTCTACTTGTGTACCCTTTGGTTGGAGACAGGAATGAATGACTCGTGCATATCTTGTGCCTAACTTGATCTATAATGAACCACACACTAGTGACTGCTATTGTAAATCATCTGGTAATTAATATCCCTATTTCAGGAGTATGAGTACTGTTGTTGACACTAGCCAATGAGTGATGGAGTCCTCTGAACTATGAGTCTAAGCTCTGCCTGGATTAATCATTAGTAGTTTAACCTATTACAAGACTAATTATGGTAAACAGTGATTGTGCCTTATCGATGTTGCAATGGCAGTGTTTGATCAACTAATCCTGTTGAGTGATAAAGTAAACCTTGTAACTTAGACATCACGATGGTGCTTGTTAGGATGAGCGCCTCCTGAGCTACATCGGTCTCGTGGTAGTGTCTTAATGTTTGATGAGAAAGAAGGAAAGTTAAATTAAAACCAGATTCGGTGTTGGATCTTCAAATACAATTGTTGATGTTCTTTGAAACTTGATACTAAAGAAGATGATCGTGAGAAATGGATCATTATTAACTATTTCTGGTATATAAGGTGTCGTACATAACTTTCTTTTTTGTACAGCTTACAAGGGTTAGATATAAAAGAATCACAGCATTTTCATATCAACAACTACATCTGGAACGACTTACTTGGTATTCTAATTATTAATAAATAGTAAAAACGATTCATTGATTGCGTCAGTGCATGTGGCAGACTTCCTTAGATGAATAAAGTTTTCCACATCAGTTTGACCACAGTAAAGGGTATCTGAAAAACCCCCACACTTAAATCTTGAACGACCAAAAAAAAAAAAAAAAAACTGATGATGAACTCTGGATCAAACTGTTCAAGCCTTAAGCACCAACGATCTACGGAAACAACTACAAACTCTTAGAATATATTGTTCTTTCTATGAGTCTGTTTCTGTCTTCATAAGCAAGGTGGGGGAGAATCTAGAGGTAATTCCTTAATATTCTCCCAGACTATCACTCACTACTCTAACTCAATCCTGCATATAAACACTCAATGTTATACGTAGGATCGCAGGATATCGCAGGACTTACACACACAAGCAAGAAACACTCCTTGGTGAGACTGGAGTGCGGAGTATCATCTGGTGGAGCCATGAACGCCCACACAGGTGTTAAGGTCACTGTGTCTCGCTACCCAAAAATTAATCCTACTTAGAGTGTTATAAATCCTCTCTTGAAGGTCTTTATTGTTTACGCTGTGTTATGGGGGGGGGGGGTGTAATGTGTGTGTAACTGAAACATCCCCAGCACAGAAACCTCTAAATGGAAGGACATTGACTGCAAAACACTAAATAAACGACCACAAACACAAAACAATAACAAAATTAAAAACTATTACGAAAAAACAAACACAAAATTACTCCCATGAACATTCCCATTATTGACAACCTTCACACTTTAATTACAAAACACCAAAAGGTAAGCATCACCTGTAATCAATACTCCATCATCAACTCTTTACACATCATGTCTACGAATGCATCTCGGGTGTGCGGGGGCCCAACGCTAAACCTCTACCATGAGACGGCCGCCTCTCCACAGCAACTCTGAGGCCTTGACCAAGATAAAGGGAATCAAATATTATCTGCCACTTGAGTTTAAATTATGGACACTCAGATGCAGCTTCTCGTGATGGTTATAATATTTATGGATCAGTTACATGATATTAAATTCGAATTGCGTAGTTAATAAATAGAAAGTATGATATTATGTCGCATTTCTGGTTGTTTTATAAGTGAACACCGAATGGATGGAGGGATAATGTGTGTATGTTGTTTATATATAAAGTTTGCATATAATTATAAGTATATATACACACACACACACACACGTACACCTACAGTATGTAGAGAGAGAGAGAGAGCGCCGTGGTGGTATACAGCACAACTCTAAGCGTGTGTTAAGATGAGGTCAGGAACTGGAGGCCCCACACTAACATAATACTGTGTACTGTACTGGGCTAGGCTGGGCTGGGCTTCTCAAGTGACAGTACCAGCGATTGAGACTTCCACTTGCTGTTTAATCCGGCTGAGTATAATAGTCATTACCTGTAGCCCAGTGTCTTGGTCATATCTCACCTGGCGAGGGCGAGTGTGTAATTACCGAGCGTGTTGTGTTATATAGTGCTTGTTGGGGCAGGGAGGGACGTGTATCGCGCCTCCACGTGTGATAGTGTGTGTGAGTGTGTGTGAGTGTGAGAGTGTGTGTGTGTGTGTGAGTGTGTGTGTGTGTGTGTGTGAGAGTGTGTGTGTGTGTGTGAGTGTGAGAGTGTGTGTGTGTGTGTGAGTGTGTGTGTGTGGTTTAAACTGAAAAGAAGATCACGTTAACACACCCTATCTCTACCTGAGTCGATTGTTAGTTAGGTTACCTTATGATGGCATTAGGTTAAGTTAGGTTAAATTACGTAAGGTTAGAATTAGGTTAGGTTAAATTTGATAAGGTTAGGATTAGGTTAGGTTAAATTATATAAGGTTAGTATTAAGTTAGGTTAGGTTAGATTAGGTTCCATATGATTAAGTTATCATTAGTGTGGTTAACTTCAAGTCGGAATAATAAATTGGGATGCTAATATTCCTGTGATCTAAAGTAACAAATGGCGACTGAGAACCTCCCCCAGAACAACAATCCCGAGCGTTTAACACAGTGTACGGGACGGGGTAATGTTAGGATGCCACTTTGCATATCACACCTAACCATCAGCACAAGAATGTAAACTAGATGGACACGACTTTCATTATACACTGGTCTTGGTTTTTTCTCCCCCCTCAGAGGTACACCACAAATAACATAATTTTCACCACATTTTATAAAAGAAGGTAATTGTTTTGTGTGAATGGCTAATGGGGGTGGCTTAAAGGTGAGGAGGAACAGGTAAAAGAAATCTTGGTTCACCTGTAGATGATTCGCTTATCGTCAAGTTTATTTTTTCTTACATGAAGATTAACCATCCTAAACTTGATCTGGCTCTAAGCTAACCTAACGCTACCCTGACTGACCTAATCTAACCTTACCTAACCTGATCTTACCTTACCTAACCTAATTTAACCTAACTTAACATAAACTAACTTAACCTAACCTAATTTCACCTTACCTTACCTTACCTTACCCTATTGACTGTAATTCTGTAGTATGGACTTACAGACAGAAGAGTTAAAGGCTATATTCTTTTATACTTTATGTAATTCCATCAAAAATGCGGTCAAATGCTGTAACTTTCTCGCCTTGTGTTACAGAAGTATTGGTAGTCATTTATTAAGTCTGATTCATATAGTTTTATTGAATTTTTATATACAGGAGTTACCATCAAACTTTAAACCATAGCAAAGTATATACTTCAAAATGACTGTGTGTGTGTGTGTGTGTGTGTGTGTGGGTGTGTGTGTGTGTGTGCGTGAGTATGTATTTATGTATGTTTAAAAAAGGTTAAATATATCCCAGTTTTTATATACTTTCTTCTTCCTTCAAAAAAAATCCTCTCCATGTGACTTTTTTTAATATATGTTCAGTATAAAATTAACCAGAAACTACAAATTTATTTTTAAGCTCTACAGTAATTAAGAAATATACATCACTATAGTATAACAGCTATGGTTATGATCTTAAGTATGTTTGAAGTATATTTAAGAAACAGGTGTATAATTTTGACTCTAACACCTGAATGGTCAAACTATCATCACAGGTATGTCATCATTAAGTCTAAATTTTGCTGTATTTATTTTTCATTGTTAATTAAGATCAGGTAAATTGTAAGTACTTGGATACAGGTGTTGATATATTAGGTTCACTTCAATATCACTTTAATTCCTTATAAGTCAACACCAATATCTCACAAGAACTTCACTGTTTGATACGATAAGTGATGCTGACTGTCCCTCCCTCCCCTCTTGGCCTCCTTACATGAATAATAAAACACGTAATGCAAGTTATTGCTTTATTTAGTGAAACAACATAAAAATTAGAGAAACACTCAATTTTTTTATTATAGGATACAACAATGTTACTTTTTTGTTACATACAGTACAAGGCATGGATACCAGATGCTGTATTGGTAGAGAGTTGGTCTAGGTAGATGGTCGAGGGTTTGTTGTAGTACTGTCGCAACGCTCACTTCTCCTGGCCTCGTCTCCCCCTCCCCCCGGCACAACCAATGCCCAAGTAGACACAAGAAACGTATCTACACAACTCACTCTGGAGCTAAATTGATCTTTGTTGTCTTTCTTGCTTCTAATTATATTACCGATTCGGTAATAATTAACTAATCCACGTCCAGAATCACCGGCACCTGTAGTTCTTGTCACCGTGTGCCGTATACAGGCATATCCGTACATAGGGTGTGCAGGGTCAGGTTGGGGGTAACATAGAGTGTGGTCCCACTGTGGCGCAGCAGCCCTAAGCTACCGAGACACCTGCTCTAAGATGTACTACTGCTACATGTATGTACTATCATAGGTACTATCAAAGCATGTTGTCATTGGCACTAGATAATGGGTGATGCCAGATGTCCAAGCAGTTGACTTACAATCTACTGTAATGACTACTGAACCTATGTCTAATATTGGATTAATGCCCTTAACAATACGCTTTCTTTATATTTACAAATCTTACAAATGCCTAGATATATAATTTATAGAGGTGCCTGTAGTACTTGCTATGTCGCAGCATGGCAGATGTACAGACAATAATCGTAGTCTTACAAATTTAATGAAATGTGAAACTCTGACAAAAAATTCGCTTCAATAATAGCCAGAAATAATGTTACTTTTGTTCTTCTCGCTAGGCATCCACTTGTGCACATCTGTGGTAGTTTTCGTGATATGTTAGTTGACATTTTTAAAACTTAAGTCGTAAACTGATGACCTTGAGTGGATACGATGAAGCGGCTGACAAGAGACGGTCTCGCCAGGCTCTTCTAAGAGTCAAATATTGCACCTGGCTCCACCGCTCACACGTACACCTACACAGGTAAGGATAGAGGACGATAGTCATACTCAAACTGACTCATCTCTTGGTGAAGGAAAGCTGACTCTACCATCAACATAAATAATGTATTCGACCCCTATTGCTGACGATCACTTTCAGGATCACATTAATAACTACACAGAGACAAATATCCCCGGCACATCACATGCCTATAAGCTGTAACTACACTCAAAATATACAATAAATACACTTTAAATAGTATAAAAAAGTCGTGTTTGTGATGTTTTGAATTCCCTGGGCAGGTCTATGTCATATGGACCAGTGTTGTGGGCACGACACCTGGGGCGGGTAGTGGTGGGTGTACAGCAGTGAAGCAGCTCACGGCTCCACTACTGTACTCTGAGGTAACGCCCACTGCTCGCGCACCGTCAGTGTACCGTCCCTGCACTGACGGCGGTCACTGTTCTCCTGTGTCAAAAGAATTTCATGGAAGATGCGCCCAATGCCAGAGTTTCTCGTGTGTTGCTGACCCCCGGGGAGGTGCTGCTCCTCCGGCAGGTCAGCTGTGTTACGTATGAGTGTTACCCTAGTGACAGAGTTCCTCATGGAGGAGGTAAACTGGCGTAAATTTACGTATGAAGGAAGTGCTGGCGGGATGCTCAACCATACTAGGTGGCACGTCCTTAGTGGTCAACATTACTGGCTGTCTCCTGCTGGTGTCCTCATTCTCCTGGCGAGGTAGAGGTAATGACGTCATCTATATCAGTGAAGGTAAAAGGGTATGACGTCAGCACCGTCATTTTTATTGTACATGAACCATCCACGTCTTGGCACCCATCATCACCAACTGTGACACTCGCAGCTTAGCTTATGGATACAGTTATAATCATTTCCTGCTAATTATCTACTATAAAATTTATGTACATAGTTAAGTATCAATTGCCATTTAAGCAAAGCAAGACAACACTTTCTGCTTCAACACATCGAGAACCAACTGTCAACACTGAGAGGCGACACCAGGCAGTACACTGCCAGGGCCTTCTCCCTCTGTTGCTACTTACACGAACGTCAACATTACGGTGCACACCAGCACACACTCGGGTAATGAGCGGCTTGTTTCTAGCGAATGCATCCTGTACTGTACTGCCGACTGCTTGTAAGAAAACAAGCCTCTGCTCACTGCACCTTCGGATACACATACTTGCACATTACAACTGACAACACCTATTTGTTTTCTCCACTTAATACACGTTTCTCTGTACACGAGGTACTCGTCTCAGAGGCTGTACATCATCATATTTGTCTGAGACCACAGCTGGTCATTACCCTGGTAAGTCAGATTTGAGGAAACACTTCGGAATATCGTCATAATCGTCGTTTGTGCTTTTGAAATGCCAGATGCTGAAATGGAGTTTGGTCATGAATACTTGCACGACACATTATCCTGATACTGTAGTTAATGGAGGGTGTATGACTGCCGCTCTACCGCCACGTGGTGTTGGCGGTGGCGGCGGTGATAGCGGGGTGGTTGGCGAGGGCGGGGGAGGCCAGCAGTCTGTCTACGGCCTCTCGTTCCTCCTTCTGCTGCTGATTCTGCTGTAGGTCTTCATTCTGTAGTTCGGCAGCGATCGCTTCCATCTCCTTCCTTATGGTGTCTGTAACAGAAACATTAAATACATAAGGTTGGATACAGTGGACATGTACTAGATCAATAATAAACAGTTTAGTTCATCTCAATTTAGATAGAGTTTAATAGAAGGAAGGAAGAGTACACAAAGCTGTTTACACTTACACGTACCATTTATGTCACCCAGGGCGTCAGGTGAGTTGGAGCGGATGTGGTCCTCATAGCGACTCCTCCGCTTCATCTCCACGTCAAGGCGTTCCTGCAGGCGACGTCGCAACTTTTTCAGCTTAGCGCAGCGCTTCTGCATCAGTATCCGGTTCTTCTGTTCCTCCTGCAGCTGTTTCTCCAGCGTCTCCCTCAGTTCACGCTCTCGAAGGACTTCCATTTTCAATTCGGCTGCGATAAAAGAAACGCAAGAATTATTATATTTTGGGTAGCCATCTTTGTTATGAGTGACTTATGGCGTCAGAAAATGTGATGTAATATCCCACATGATCACACACTAGACTTGTGCTCACCTTTCTCACACTGTGTTTGCCTCTCGTGGTGTCGCGCGTTCTCCTCAGCCACCCGCAGGAGGCCCAGAATATTCCTGAGTAGAACCTCCGTGGATGAGAGGGGAGCGTTGCCCCCCATGCTGGCGAGAGCTCCTGGGGGCGCTGGAGGCGAGGTGAGCTGCGTCTGCCCTAGTGTACTGGAGGCTCTGGTCCACGCATCAGCCACGTCCATAGCTGTTGATCAGAGAAGAAATAAAGGTTATATAAAATTCCTGTATGAGAAGCTTATATACTTCGGAGAGCATTGATAAAATGATAAAAATCCCACAAGTGTCACCAGAAAATATATTATAGATACTTACATTCATCTTTGTCCTCGTCATCGTCCATATCAGATAGACGGTCATCGTCATGAGGGTTGTGACGGCGGTCATCGTCATGTAGGTCACGCCCGGAGTCGTGGCTGGCCAGGTCGTGGTCCCGCTCGTCATCTCGTTCGTCCTGAGCATCTTCAGAAGCGGCGCCCTTAGACAGGTTGAGGACGGGAGAAGTGGGCGGCTGGTGGTCGTCGTGGGTGGAGGTGGGTGGCAGATGGTGGGGTCCTGCCATACTAGTGGGCGTCAGACCCCGTCGCTGGTCCAGTGCCATCAGACGCTCTCGCTCTACCCGCTCCTCGTGCATCCTGAAACATGACAACAAACACCAATTATATTTCTGGAATCATGAGATACTCAAAGTTATCAACCCATAAATTAATTACTACTGTCATCCGAAGGTTATGAATTCAAATCATTATCATTATTATTGTTGGTATTATTATTATTATTGTTATTATTATTATTAATATTATTATTATTATTTTAACATTATTATCATTATTATTATCCAAGACCCTCAAGCAACACTTCCTTCTATGAGTTTAAAGTGTATGTCCAAGAAGTGTCAATCAATTATATTCAAGTGTGGATGAAACTGCCAGGCCTGACTTTACTGATGTATGTCCTCCCTCACCTTTGTTATTCTATCTTATAATGAATGATGTTTTATGCGATGTCCATTTTCTAACTGGTTAAAATGTGTAGAGTTTAATGCATAAATTATTACATAGAGATTATTTTTGAGACAATGATTCCCCTGAAACTGAAAGAGTGAGAGATAAGTCCTTCTCTCTCTTACCCAGATAATAAAACTCTTCTACTGACTCCATGACGTAAAATCAAAGTTTTTGTAACATACCGCACATACCTGGCCAAAGACTCAGGTGTGATTTGTGGGTGTTTGAGAGGGGAGGCCTCGTTAGGGGAGAGGGGGTGTGGTCCTACTGGGCCTCCTCCAGGCAGACCGCCGGGGAGGCCGCCGGGCAACAGTGGTGGGTAGCCGAGCCCTGCCATGTGGTGCGCCATGTACTGTAGAGGATTGAAGTGTGGCGGCGCGTGGTACCCGTTGGCGAGCAGTGGCGACTTATCCAACCTTGGGTCACCTGTAGGGAGGAAAGAAAGAGCATTAGTATTTATCCTGTTCTTACACTCAAATGGCCTACTTCAACCCTACATCCGTCGTATTGTTTTTAAGAAGTAACGACAAGAAATAATCACCACGAACACTACTGTCTAAAATACCTTGTTGTTCAGGTAAGTGTTTGTTACCTGTTGTTATTGTGTATCATTAACCGTGAGTACACCTGGCGGGAAGCAGTGGCAGTAAGGATGAGTGTAGGGAACAATAGCGGCCTTGATGTGATGATGTAAGACTTTTAATGGTAATAAGTCCCTATTTTGGCTCTCAGGTGGTCACTATCCCCCCTGACACCACTCACACTAGACAAGACACAACATTATCACAAAACGGCCTCCAGATGTTCACCTTCACCACGCTATAACTCTCCACAAATTGGAAAATATTATAATAATTGAACTGAATCAAGAATTCCCAGTTGTGTAATCGTTTCCATGGGGTGTTTGACCTCCTGCAGCGGCTACCACAGGAGAGAGAGAGAGAGACGTGAGGTAAGTGAGCGAGGCACTAGGGGGGGGGGTTAGGAAGGATTGGAGTGGGTGAGGAGGTGAAGAGGTTGACGGGGGAGGGGAAGGCGGATGGGGAAGGGGAGGAGGAAGGAGGAGAGGAAGGGGAAAGAGGAGGGTAAGCATAATAATAATATTCTTCCTTCGCCTGTGTGTGTTCCACTTCGGCAGGAGGACTGTACTGCGTGAGGACTAGACCACTGTGCTGTTCGCCTGACGTACACGAGATCCTGTCCAAGCTAACGTCCTCCTCCACCCTCTCACCATATTTACCACACCATTAAAATTATAACTCTTTGTATATTACTCCGTTTAAGCAATTGTTACTACACCGTATATAGAAGAAAAAATTACTTAACGTACAATCAACAGTATTTCTTCACCATGAATATATTTAATGAAACTGAAAAGATAATTATACGTGATGGGTTTTTATGGGTTTGTTATTACCAAGAAAAAAATATGGTGATCGTAAGGTTGACGTACGTGAGTCATTGGTAACACTGCACTGCTGAGCCAGATTGCGGCAGATAAAAACAAGCAACACTCCCTGAGCGTGTTCCTGTCGCACCTTACCACTTGCCGCCGCCACCTGCCAACACACACGCCTTTTTTTCCACCTTCAATCATGCCAGATCAATCGTCATTTTTTTTTATACAATACCAAAAAATAAAGTAAATATATATAATAAACAAAATTCCGATTATCTGTTATGTATGTATATATGTTTTCGTCAGTAAATGAATCGATATTGAGTCAGTTTTATTCGACGGATAATTGTGAGCTAGCAACATGTAAGGCAAGGCGGCCATGTTGAGACTTCAAGGTCAAAGGAAGAATCAAATCAGCGACTATATTTCGCGTCCGAAGAAGACAAACGCGGCTGGAAAAATCACCTTCGTTCGGAGCTTGACATTTTTTAAACAATATCAAAAACTTCTCCATTAATCAAAACGACAAGAGGGACTCGAGGCGATCTAATGCTTTTTTTTTTCTTCTTCGATACTCCATTCAGGTGAGACTTGAACAAAAGAATTTAATGTGAGGAACTTGTTTAAAGGTTGAGAGTGAGTGAGGGAGTGAGAGTGGTGGTGGTGGTGGGCAGGAGAGAGAGGGGCGGTAGTTCGTACAGGGTGAGTGATGGTTATAATGCAGCACCAACCACCCGGCAGACGACGTGGCCCCCGCCAGACTGTGTTGTGGTCTACTGAACCCTCTCGTGTTGTTCCTCCTCCTCCTTCTTCTGCTATCCTACCTCCTGTTCTTCCTAACCTACTCCTGTTTTTCTTCCTATTGTTAACCTACTGTTCTTCATTCTTCCTTCTTCCCTACTCCTCTTCTTCTTCCTCCTTCTCCTCCTCTTAATTCACCCCTAATCTTCCCCCTGCAGTCTTACTCACTCCTCCGATCCTGCTCTACCTCAACCTCTTCCTCCTGCCTCCTCCTCCCTCTCTCTTTTCATGCCCTTGCCCAGATATCCTCCTCCTCCTCCTTTCCTTTTCCTCGTGTATTGCTTCTGTTGCTTTACTGTTTCTGTTGCTTTACTGTTTCTGTTGTTGGCTCAGTGCTGTTGAAGTGTTTAGTGTCATTACTGCCCCTCCCTCCTCCTCTACCTCCTCCTACCCTCCTCTTCCTCCTCCTGTACCTCCTCCTACCCTCCTCTTCCTCCTCCTACCCTCCTCTTCCTCCTCCTATCAACAGCAACCTCTGTGATTCCCGACTCGCCGCTGTTGCTTTTGTTCGTTCGCCAATGCTGTCGTTCCTTCGCCACCACTGTCGTCCATACACCTTTGCTTCCTTCTTATTAACCTCTACGAACTATTTTTTTTACCTCAACGACTTTGTTCCCTCGCAAGCAAATACCACATACACACAGACATACATACAAGCACACACATATACAAATACAGTCACACCATATATACACACAAACACTCACATACATATACAACCGTCCATAGACACACAAATACAAAGACAGACAGACAGAGACAGACAGACAGACAGATATCATCCCACGTCAGGTACACAAACATTTTCTCTCACCACTTAATACTTTCAATCTACCTGAAGGGGATGACCTGACACTCGACCAACTAACGATACCTGTGGGGTTAGGTTAGGTAAGGTTTGGTTAATTTCTAATCCCCACGTAATCTGACCAAAGTTAAGAAATATTTAATTAAAAGAAAAAAAAATTATCACCGATTCATTTATGTAAAAGAAAAAAATGAATTTATTGGTAATGATGTAAAAACTTTCTTAAATGTAATGATAAATTTTAGGAATTAGATTGGGAGAATGTTGTGATATAAATGTCACTTGTAATCCTTGAATAGCCTGAACTTATATGCGAGTGACATTCTAAACTTGCTAGATAATCATATATATATAAGAAATAATGTCACCTGAAGATTTTATTGGTGTCTCATTCCTTTACCGCCAATGTTCGTTTCCCAATGGTTGATATGAGTCGTATTTTCTGCCTCTAATATTTATATTAAGTATGAAGAAAAAGTTTTATTTTCACCTTTAATAATTTTGTTTAGTCCAAGTGAATCTGTTTAGTGTGTATATAAGATCACCTGAAGATTAAACACCCTAAAGCTAACCTAACCTAACTTAACATAACCTAACCTAACTTAACATAACCTAACCTACCTTAACATAAGCTAACCCCAATTACTCACCAACATAAATGATGACAAACAAATATCCGAACTAATCTCCAACATCCAACAGTCCAGCACATCACCAAGCTAAGCAGATCACCAAGACACAGCTCATCACCCACATCCCTACTTGGTGACCATAATTTAACAAGAGGGAGGGAAGAGAGAGGGAGGGAGAGGAGAGAGAGGAAGGGAGAGAGGGAGGGAGGGAGAGAGAGAGAGGAAGGGAGAGAGGGAGGAGAGAGAGAGGAAGGAGAGAGGAGGGAGGGGAGAGAGAGAGGAAGGAGAGAGGAGGAGGAGAGGGAGGGAGGGTAGCGTCGTATCAAGCATGACGATCTATAATGACTTGGTCTCACCGGGACGACGAGTAGGAGTCAACTAACTAACGAACTGACTGACGAAGACGACGAAGACGAAGACGAAGACGAAGGGTACCTGACCAGATCCTTGATGACTGCTCTCTCTGACCCCTAATCGTTGCTACATAAATTCAAAAATGTCTCTTTGTTTGTTTACATTATTCCTACTGTCTTATGGTAGTTAATATGTGGTTTTAGTGTTTATTTTCTACCTTAATACAGGTATCAATTACAGATACAGGTATTAATTACAGGTACAGGTATAAAGTATAGGTACAATAATTCCCATCTGGTGATAGAAGCATAACGTTGACGCCTGAAGGTGAGAGAGAGAGAGAGAGAGAGAGAGAGAGAGAGAGAGAGAGAGAGAGAGAGAGAGAGAGAGAGAGAGAGAGAGAGAGAGAGAGAGACTATATTCTCTCATTACCACACTCCAACAGAACAGACCAGACATACATACAGTACACGTCATGAGTTCATTAAAGATATCAACACGTGGTTTAACAAATACGAAAGAATATACAAAAAAAAAAAATCAAGAGCAGGATGGTATTTAGGTGAGAATTGAGTGTGTGTGTGTGTGTACTAGCGTGGAAACTTAAGCTAGTGATGGCTAATACCTCTTACGCATCACTACCCTAAGACTCATAGTCCAATCTCACGTCGTCAGATTAATTATTTCTACGTGACGCACCAAAGAAACACTATTACTAATGATTGTTTATGACGGTATGAACACACCCGCTGAGTTTCACACCTTCCCACCTTGGATCGATCGGCTAACAGCATCCCCGCGGATATCCGAGTTGAACGATACACTATGGAGGAAAATGGTCAACCACGCACCGGACACACGCCATTCTCTAGCCATTTTTATCCTGGTCTCTGTATAATGTATAACAATGGAGTATCTTTGTTGGGGGGGGATAGGCCACATTAATATATTTAGTCACCTGTCCTAAGGTAATGGTTGCTTACCTGTGTGTTTATTCAAGGGTAGCCCACACCTCTCTCTCTCAAGTGAGTCATTAGAATGAAGGATAACCACCATGACCAGGTAATTATTTTAAACGTTCTACCATAATGATAATGACACTGCATCACTAAGGTCAGGTAATCAAGTGAGGTAACTAATGAGTGGACGACGCGAGAAATATTGTTTGTTAGCAGAAAAGTTTGTAAAGCACATCACTGTAAAAGGTACACACACACACACACACACACACACACACACACACACACACACACACACACACACACACATAACATAACCTCCCCCCCCACAGGCCAACCACTATTACTGAATCACACGGGATCACTTCCTGTTGTGTTTAATTACCAGGCGAGACAATCATGCTAACAAGGTACTTTCCCGTGACGGTCCGCCTTCCTGCCGCCCCCTCCCGCTGTCATTTCTCCTCTCCTCT